AAAAAGAAAGAAAAGAACGAAAATAATAAATGAAAAATGATAAAATTTATATTTTTTTCATTGAAATTTTATTTATCTAAATCCATCTTCTGTAATTTCAAATGGAATATTACCATTTTGTAAACGAGATGTTGTTTGTATTATTGCTTTATATTTTGATTCTGTTTGATAAAGAAATATAGAATTTTTAATATATGATGTAAATATTACTCCTCCATTCCTTAAAAAATATGTAAGAAATGGTGCTGATTGAGTATAATCAATGGATGTGTAATTACTATTAATTTTCTTTGTTGTTAAATGATTTACTATAACAACTGATAAATAATATTTATTTGAATATATTGAGAGAATTTGAATTATTCGATGAAGTGCTGCTAATCTAATTGTATCATTACACATAGCTTTCTTATAAAATGTAGGTATTGAATCAATTATTATTAGTTTTACCTTATTTAATTTATTATTTATTGATAAAAGTGATGAACAAAGACTCACAATATCATGTGGCTGATATACATGAATTTTTTCAAGTATTTCTTTTACATTAAGTTTATATTCTGGGTATGAAGCACATATACACTCTGCCATTCTTTGAACTCTAGAAATACAAAATTGTGAATATGAATCATAATAAATACATTCAGAATTTAATCCTCCTATCTCTTCAGGTAATTGAACATTACATGCTATTTGCATACTACTTTTATTATTATTATTATTTATTATTTATCATTAAACAAACCATAATTGTGATTTTCCACTTCCAGGAAATCCAACTATTTGTGTTATTTCACCTAATGAAATTCCTCCATTTAAAAATTGATCAATTTCTTGATTAAATGTTGGGATATTTCTAACTTTCTTTTCTTTAACTTCCTCAACAAGTTCTTTTAATGTTTTTGTTTTCATTTATTTGATTTTTAGTTCATTGGATTTATTCATTTCTTTCATTTCTTTGTCTTGAATAAATAATATATTGTGTATGTTTTATTTATTAAACTATTCTTCTCTAAACATCTTACTTAAAATAATACAAATATTAAATCTTTTTATCATTAAAACATCTTAATAAGTAAAGAATTGAATGTTAATTCAAAGATTGAAAATAAACAAGTAAAACATCTTTTTTCATTGTTATTAAATAAAAAATAAAAGAATGTCTTCTTAAAATTTGATTAATACAAAGAGTAAATTATTAACAACATCCCTTTTCTTCTTGTTTGCTTTTATTTAATTGAATATCACCTTTTGGTAAATGTGACTCATCAAAATTAATAGCTTCAAAGAGTTGTATAAATGTTTCTTTAACATCTGTTTGTTTAATTATTTGGTGTTACTTAATTTAAGAAGAATGAAAAAAAAAAACAAACTATCTCCTGTTTTAGCTGATGCTTCAGAAAATAAAATACCTAATTCTTTTGCTAATTCTTCTCCCTCCTCAGAACTTACTAGTCTTTCTTGATTATTATCTGCTTTATTTCCTACAAGCATACAAACAACATCTGGTTCTGCTTTGAAAATTTCATCACACCACCCTCTAATATCTTCAAATGATGTTCTATTAGTAACATCATAAACTATTACTGCTCCTCTACTCCCTCGATAATACATAGAAACCATTGACCTATATTTCTCTTGTCCCGCTGTGTCCCATAATGCTAATTTAATTTCTTGCCCTTGCTTTATATAACTTGTAGCAATAAAATTAGCACCAATAGTTGCTTTTTCATTTGTACTAAACCCTCCCTTTGCATAACGGTTAACTAATGACGTTTTACCTACACTTTGGTCTCCAACAAGACAAATTTTATAAATATTCAAATTCATTCTTTCTACGTTTACCTTCTTTTTTGAAGTTCGTTTTAATATTAGTTCACCTTGTTTTATCATCAAATGGAACTTCCACAATTCTTTCTTCTTACTATCTCTTTCATTTTCATTTGTATTGGAATTTGGTTGTTCTTTAAAATTAAGGCACTCCAACCAACTCAGCCTTTACAACATCCTCATAAAAAGAAGTTCAATCGATGCACTGACTTTAGGGTTATTAGAAAAGAAATATGGCGTGCTTTCCAAAAACATTATAAACCCCTTATTATTCAAGCATCAAGTCTTCAACGCAGAAAGAAAGAATTAAATGACCGTATGATGAAGGGTGAAAATTGTCAGGCAGAAATTGACCAACTTAAACAAGATATTCAGAAATGGTCAAATAGAAGAGATGGAGCAGCTGAACATGTTTTCAAAAAGGCTAATTCATTTATTCCTGTCCAAGACAAAATGGATTTACATGGTCTTTTTGTTGGAGATGCATTAAAAATTGTACAAAGAAAGTTACCTAATCTTAAGAAAAATAAAGACATTCATACAATGAGAATTAGTTGTGGAGTAGGTAATCATAATGGTTTAGGATATTCAAAGATAGGAAGAGCATTAAGTAAAATGTTAAAGAAAAATAATATTCAATTTTGGATTGACCATAAAATTGGGTTTGTTAATGTTAATATGAAAAGTGTTCCTGATAAAATTGAATATGAAATTACAACAATCAGGATAGAAGATCATATAGATGAAATAACATTAAAAGAAAAAGAAATTAATTTTGGGAATGAAGAAAATGATGATAATTCAAATGAATAATTTTTTTCTTTTGAGTTATAAAAAAAAAACTAGAGAAAGTACAAACAATTAATAATAATAATAATCAAAGATTAAAGATGAAAATAATATAGAAGATGAGTTTAGTAAGCATGTAGATGTATTCTTGCATAATCTATCTTTGTTACTCCACATTGTAATTTAATTGATCCAATATAATTAACTTTTTGTGTAACTTTACCTTGAAGATATGGTGTTATTCGATTAATATATTTTGTTTCAAGTTCTAATTCTAATTCATTTGGTAAAGGGGTTGAATAAAGAAATGTTGGGTCATAACAATTCCATGGTAATGGAGGTAAGGCAATTGGAACAATAGTTTGATTAACATTTGTTTGAATTGATGTTAATATATTATAATGAGTCAATTCAAAATAATGGAAAGGTTGGAGACTAATAGCTGATATTAAAGCAATAAGGGAAATGACATGAAAAGAAGAAAATACAATACAAATAATTAGAGTTCTATAATTATATGAACAATTAAAATATACAAGTAAAAGCATTGTTAATATACTAATAAATAAAATAATATAAAGAATAGCAATTAAAACTCCCATTATTCCTACAATTAATGTTATAGTTATTGAACTCATTATTATTGTTATGATTATTGACCATATTGTAAGTTGTAATATACTCCACCAATTATTTTCTTTAAATGTTTCTTTCAAACTTTCTTTTTTGATTATAAATTCTTTTACTTCCGAATTATTAATAATAACAAATATCCATAAAATACAACTAATGAAGATAAGTGTTATTTCAATCAAATAAACAGGACTTATGAGCGGAACAATAAGTGCACTAATAGAAAATAAAATTGACATAAAAATAACGAAATATGTTGGTCCAAAACAATGACTAATTGTTGATCTTTTTTCTTTTTTATGAATTGGTTTTAATATTTCATCTTTTTGTTCTTTAAATTCTTTTTCAATTCTAATTAATTCTTTAATTGTTTTATTTATTGTTAAATTAAGGTTTTCACTTTCTATCTTTTTATTTCTTCTTATTGTTTCACTTTCTTTTTCTATTTCTTTTAATGCTTCTACCATAATAGGAATTATTCCAAGATAATCTACTGTAAGTCCTCCTTCTTCATCTATTTGTACTAATTCAGGATAAATTTCTTTAACTTCTTGTGCAATAAATCCATATCTGGGTGTTTTATCTTCTGGGTCTCTTAAATATTTAAATTCTCTACCAGATAAATGTTTTAATCCATATAATGCTTTATCAATTTTTTCAATTTCTTTTTTATTTCTTTCATCTGACCTTACAAGAAATCCTTCATTTGAAAAAATTTCTCCTAACATATATAATTGTTGTACTTTATTTCTAATTCCTTTAATTTTTAATAATTCATTTATTTGATATTCTTCATTATTTCTTTCTTCTACTATTTGATACTCTTGACTATTATTTAATATATTTTCGGTAGTTTCACTGTCTGTTTTAATTATCTCATTATGTCCTAAAAACTCTCTTTTTTCTTCTATACCTCTTATTCTTTTTTCCTCTTGTTTATTCTTACTTTGACTCTCTTTCTTTTGAAGTTCATTTAGTGCAACTCCAATGAGTGGTGCAAGTGTTTCAGTAAATGCAAATGGATATGTTTGTCTTCCTTGTGTTTTATCAACTAATTTAATCATGTATCTTTCACAAATTTTCTTTATTTTATCTTTCTCATTAGAATTTTTAAATGATGTTAATAACATGTTGTCGGGATTATTTCCTTCTTCTGCAAGAAATTGTTTAATGTGAGAATCCCAAACATGTGCATAACAATTATATCTTGTTTTAGGTGGTTCATTACATCCAGGATAATTACATTTCCAATTCTTTTTACGTTGTTTTAGTGTTCGTGGGATTTCCTTGACAGGGACATTGACTATTCCACCGCCACCATTCATTTCCTATGATATTTAGATTTTTGTTTTGTCTCTTGATAAAAATCAAAAAATCAAAAAGAAAATAGAAAAACAGAACTGAACTTAAAAAAATGTATTATTTTAAGACATGGGAAAAATCAATGTATTAATAGTAATCTTGTTATGCATTGCTGTGGCTGGAAAAACAAATAAGAATGTTGAAAAGATGGTAGAAAATGCAGTCCAAAAACAAATGGCAGCGGAATATGCTCGAGCATTCAAAACAAAAGACATTGAAAAACAAAATAGAACAGCAGAAGAACAGGCACGTATCAGACAAATAGAAGGGGAAAAGAAGAATATAGAAATTAAAGGAAAAAATATCACAGCAGAGATTGAAGGAGTTAATAAGAAGATAACATATTTAATGGAAGAACAAAAGAAAATTAATGAAACAATTAATTATGCACGTCAACATGCTGATGAAAAAGCAGGTAAATTTAATGAAATAATGAAAAAGAAAATTGAAGAATATCAAAAAAATAAAAAAGAAATGGAAAGATTAACCGAAAAAAGAGAAGAATTAAATGATGTTAGAATTGAGAATATTAGAAGTATGGGTACTGCTAAGACACAAGTAGAAGAAATGGCAGAAGAAATGAGAAATAGAAGAAGAATGATAGGGGATCTTGAAAGGAAAGAAAAACGAAGAGCAAAAACAGCAAAGATAGTAGCAAGAGTTAGAAAAATGGAATATCAAAAATTAGTTAAAAGATTAAAAGAGTTAGAAATGGCTAAAGAAGAAATTCGACGAATAGAAAAGAAAGAAGAAATGAAAGACAAAGCCATAGAAAAGAAAGAAGCTAGAGAAAGAGCAATAAGAGAACGAAAAAGAAAAATCTTAAATACAAAATTAAAAGCAGCTAAAATTGCAGAAAATGCAGAAATGATTAATATGATTTATAAACAATTAGCTGAATTAAAAACATATAAAAAGAAACAAATCCAATGTGCACGTAGAACATTTGAAAAATATAAAGAGAAAGAAAGAGCAAACATAGAAAAGAAAAAAGGAGAAATACTTGATAGAAAATTAAAAAATGAAATTCAAGAAAGAAAAGGACAATATTTAATGAAAGTTAAAAGGGAAATTCAAGAAGAAATAGATAGATTAAGATTAGAGAAAGAAGCATTTGATGAAGAAAGAAAAGTAGAAAATAGAAAAATCGAAGCATTGAAAGCTATTGGAGATAAAGAAATTAAAGAAAGTAAGAAGAGACTTTCAATAAGAAAAGAAATGATGAAAATGAAACGAGAAGAATTACTCCGAGAAGAAATGAGAACAATGAGAAATAAAAACGAAGAATATTCAAATCGTGTTAAGAAAGATATTATGAAGAAAGCAGTAGAATCAAGTAAAAAAATGAATCAAAAAAGAAAGAAATTACAAGAGAGTTTAAGACGATTAGACACGAAAATTGCATTAAAAAAGAAAGTATTAAAACTTCAAAGTCAAGATGCTAATATGGGAAGTGCAATAGAAAGACTTGAAATTCAAAAATTAAAAGACGAATATTATAGACTTGCAGCATTAAAGGAAAGACAAAAGATGCAAATTAAAGCTAGTAAAGAATTAATAAAACATAATACACAAATAGATGATTTAGAAGATATTGATAATAGAGCAAAATATGCATTATATCAAACAATATTAAGTAGAAAAGGTGTTCAAAAAACACTTATTAGAGATACTAAAAAGAATTCTAAGGAAGCATTAGAAGAGTTAAAGAAGAAACTTAAGAAAGAATTTATGTTGAAGAAGAAAGTTATGAATTTGAAGAGATGTTTGAGAACAAGGATTGCTATGAATGATGAGATTAAGAGAAAAGAAATAGAAAGAAGATTAAAAGTAATGATTAAGAGAGCTGTTATTGCTAGATTAAATTCAGCTAAAACAGCACGATGTGTTGGTAAAAATGAGTTAGTTGAGAAGATGATGAAGAAATAAAAAAGATTTTTAATTCATTAGGTTTTAAGTAGTTAAGTTACTTAACATTTTGTTTTCTTTTCATTAAAGCATAAACATTGATGTGTTATGAAATATTATTTCTTAACAAACAAAGTTTGAATTATACAAACAAAATATATTGAAGTGTCAATAAGTTTTAATAAAGCTATTCATGTTAATTAAAAGAAATAATCTTATCCTTTATGACTTTTTCATTGGTTATAAGAATAAATATGTCATGGAATTGATAAATCCTTACTTTATTGTATTTAGTAAGAAAAGGATTGATAAAGTAAGTAATTGTGTTTTGTTTGTTTAGAACTGTTTTTGTTTATAAGATTTATAAAGGAGTTGTGTTGTTTCCAAAACAATAAAATGTGCTTGGGTAATTAACTGGTACATCAGTTATAAAATTTAAAGTGTTGAATGAATTAAATACTGTTGTGATGGTATTTTATAAATTATAAGTTTATATCCTTTAGAACTCAGTATTTATAATATAACAACATAGTGCAATTAAAATCCAACAAT